AAGGTCGAAATATCTCATATAATATTGGGTTATATTGGGATAATGGAAAAGAAAATGGAAACTACTATGGGATAATGGAAAAGAAAATGGAAACTACTATAATAGAGTATATATTAGGGTTATAATAGGGTATATATTGGGGTATATATTAGGATAATGGAAAAGAAAATGGAAACTACTATAAAAGAGTATATATTAGGGTTATAATAGGGTATATATTGAGGTATAAACTTTCTGCATCTTAATTTTGAGGTAGGTAGACTGCGGAACCCCCACATATCTCATCATCATCGCTCGATTTTCCATATTCTTTCCCTACCTCCCTGTGGTTGACCATGAGTTCAGGGTTCATGGGGTTGGGATGTCAAGGGCTTGTTTCGCATAGTGCTTGCCGCAGGAATCCCAATCCTAAACGCGACCCCCCCACAGGTGTACAACAGCTGGGGGGAGAGGAAGCTTCCAGTCGTCATCCTCACGGGTGTCCCGACACGAGAAGAGCTTACGGTTAGTGTTTAGGGCTGAGAATTTTGGGTGTCTCGGTCTAAGGGCTAGTCTTGATGGGGTCCTTATCGCAAGGAGTTAATTTTGCAGAGTGGGGAATGACAGTTCTTGGGACATATTCGCGTGTGTTTCTGCTTGGATCGCCAGTTGCGGGATCCCTAGATAGCCCCGGAGCCCCAGAGGTTATCTTGGTGCTGGCAAGACAACCCTCCTCAACTACATCCTCCATGAGCAGCGCGACAAGAAGCTGGCAGTGATTGAGAACGAGGTTGGGGAAGTGAGTGTGGATGATGCCTTGCTGGAGGACCGTGTCCGCGACATGGGCCCGGAGGAGGTGGTCGTGTTGGACAATGGATGTGTTTGTTGCAACATCCGCGCAGATCTTGTGAAGGCCCTGGCTGCCATTGCAGACAGGTACCGGAGTGGTTTGTGCCTATTGGATGGAGTGATCATAGAGCTCACTGGCATGGCAGATCCAGCTCCTGTTGTCCAGTCCTTCTTCATGGTAGACGAAGTCTGTGACTACTACTACGTTGACAACGTGGTGGCATTGGTGGACTCCAAGAATGCGCTGAGACAGCTGAATGAGAGTCAGAGTGATCCGCAGAACAAAGGCACGGCGGCAGCGCAGATAGCTTTCTCCAGCATGGTCCTTCTGAACAAGACGGACCTAGTGGATGAGGCTCATGTGAATGAGGTGCAGCGTCGGATACGCGAGATAAACCCTTCCTCTCCTATCCTGCGGTGCATGCAGTCCCGCGTGAGCTTGGCAAAGCTTTTCAACGTTGCAATCTTCAGCCTAGGCCGAGTGCTTGAAGAGCAGTACATGGATGAAGAGGATTTTGTCAAGTTCTACCAGCCCAAGATGGACCGATCAGTGTCCAACGTAGGCGTCCGCTGTACAGGTGCGTTAAACCTTTTTGCCTTGCAGGCGCTGTTGGACAAATACCTTGGGCAGGAGGAGACTGCCAAAGATTTCCTGCGCATCAAAGGTGTCCTGGAAATTGCTGGCAGCAGCTCTAAGTACGTGGTGCAGTGTGTACACATGGTGAGGACAACAGGTTTCTCAGGGGCCTGGGAGGAAGGAAGCCCGCGTGAGAACAGAATGATCTTCATTGGTCGAGGCATGCAAGCCCGTCGCGAGGAATTGACAGAAGCTTTCAAGAGCTGCCTGGTGAGCCCTCTACGTTTCTGGATTGGAGCGCAGGTGCAAGTCCTGCATGATGAGGTGGTCTGTTTGGATGATGACGGGGAGTACAGCGAGTCTGGCCGCTCGCATGGCCACTCTCATGGACATAGCCACCACACAGAGTGGCGCAAGGGTGTGGTTTCGCATCATTGGGATGAACACAATGCATATAAGGTGCGCTTGCAGGATGGAGTTGAGGTTCTTGTGCCGCTCGATGACGACTGTCTGATTCGAAGTGTGTGCGAGGAGGCAATGGAGAGTTCTTGAGGCTCTGACTTCCCTTGCTTTCAGGGCTCGAGTCTTGCTTCTACGCACGAGACGTACATCCGTTCAGGATGTACCTAGCCAAGCTGCAGAGAACCCGAACGCGCACGGCATCGTCCGGGTGCGGGGAGAACATGGTCTTTTCCGCTGAGGCTGCTGTCGGGCGTCTCTGCAGCAAAGATTTTCTGCGCGGTGCTGCTCGCTGGTACATCGAGCCTGCTTCTGCAGACAGAGGGGTGAATTTATCACATAATTTTTCCAAGTCCCTGCTCAACAGAGTGTGGTTGACTGCTGCCGTCGGGAAAGCAGAACAGAGGCAAAGCTTATAATATGGCAGTTTCCCAACATAAGGGGACTTCAATATAGAACCCAATCTACTCTTATCCTTATTGTGGGGACCTCCCAAACCACACAAAAAACGATGATCCTTCCAAGGAGGCTGTAGATGGGGATAAGTCAGGATCGTTTCATTTCTGGAAGATTTTGTGGATCGCAACTCAAGACCTTGCTGCAGAGCCTTTGCATGAGGCCGCTGTCAGCCATTGTTTGGAATGGCATCCAGCGGGGGTTTCTTGCAAAGCGGAGATAGGGTTTTCTCATGCAAGTTGAGCCAAAGTAAGGGGTTCATGTGGGACTTTCATTTCAAGAAACTCGCGTATCATGAAGTGAGAAGAGGAGTGATAACGATGATGGACATGCACAAGACAAGCTGCAAATTACTACAACAGCTATGGCAAAGGTCCATGCCAACGACAGAATAAAGATTGGACATTCTGCCCCACAAGGGTAAGCTGGAGAGCATCAGTGAGCTGAGTACCTATTGTGTAGCATTTCAGATTGGAATATTGGAGTGCCCCGTGTAGAGTAAGATCAATTTCTCTTGGTTGAAAACATCTTTCTATCGGTTTCCAAGCTAAGGATGACAGGAACTCTAAAGCCTAAGTCATCGAAGTAGTTTTTTTTTTTTTTTGCAGCTTCGAGGGTCTGGGTTTAGCGTTCTATGGTTGAGGGGTCAGGAAGGGTTTAGTAGGGTTTCCGGGTTGAGGGTCGCGCGCTCTAGACACGTGGAATATATACCTTTTTCTACCTTTTTCCTCTGTTCAACCCCATACAGTGGCTTGCAACCGCCCTACGTAATGTGTGGGCTTCTCGCGAATGCTCCCTGCTTAGTTTCCAACAGCCGCCTGCGTAGACTCCTTTGGATTCCACATACTTCGAGGGGTTTAGAGGGTCCTCAATCTTGACAACTGTTCTTTTTCGCTTAATGACCAGCTTTGAGAAAACTTCCATAAAAAGACGCTACGCTAGAGCCATCGTGCGAAGAACACATGATTGTGGGGAAGCCCCGTTTGAGTCCCAGCAGCAAACGGTTGGAACCAAACCGAATTTCGCTGCCCTTCCAGCAGGCTTTTCACCAAGTGATCTGTACTGCAATCCTAGGAAAGAGAGGGGACAGACAAAAGGCTTTCTTTTGCATCAGAATTTGACCGTAGTATGGGCCAAGATGTTCAGGTTCAAGCCACAAGGGAGTATCGCTTACAAGGTATGTCTAACTTGGACTTCCCTCTCATGGGCAAAATCCTACATGCCACTCTTCTGTCATAAGCAGGAGGTACCATGGTGCTTTTGTAGTTTGCACTTTCTTTTCCATGATCCCAAAGCAGGCCCAGTATACTACAATCGGTTTCATTTTCTCTTGCATTGTCCCTCTAAACCCTAAACCGCATAAGCAAGAGGCATTATGGTACTAGGCAGCGTGGTACCGCAGCCATTTCCATCCTCTTTTCCACTATCCCTTATATAACCCTAATATACTACAGAATGCTTAGGGTCATGCAGGATTTTGTCGATCAACCCTGGGACTTTGAGCGATTTGTGGTTGGGTCGGAGGTTGGTTTCACGATTCGACGTTGCTCCGAATTTCAGGAGGGGATTTTGGAGGGGTTTTATGACTCAAGGGCTCAGGGTTGTCAGGGTGTAGGATTGTAGGGTTCAGGGTTTGGAGGTCTTTCGGTTTCAGGTCTTTAGCAATTGAGAGTTCAGGTTTTTAGGGTTTCAATTTTCCTCGCGAAGGTTGGGTCAGGTTGATGGAACGACCCCTCCCAAAGAGACTTGAAACCCACACATGCTTTCTTTGAAATGGCAGTGTTCTTTCTTGTTGTGTAGGGGATGTATAGGGTTGATACAAGGCATATTGACTGTAGCTATGGGCAGCACCAAGCTTTCGTGGTTCGTTTTACGGATGAATGTCCTCTTATTCTAACCCTTGGCTCAAGACCTCAGCTCTGTACTGTTAGGAAAATCCAAATCCGGAACCTGCTCCTGAAATGAAGGGATTTTGTTATTCCAATCCCTATAATACTGACCCTGTAACTATCACATGCTTGTCATAGGGTTCAAACTTTGTGGCGGTTGGGTTGGCAAGACTTATTAATATGGGGAACTGTTCACAGCTCTAGTCGGAAAGCAAGTAACTTGGTTCAATATGGGAGTTTCCCTACATTCGGGGTCTTGCGTATAGCATATTGGGGTTGATTGGGGTCCGCCATTTTCGGAAACTACCATATGGGCCCCTGCCTTGCACTTTTTCTGTGATCTGCAAGGGCCCTTTTGGGTCTGTTTGCGCATGCCTAAGCCCACAGCCAGTAGCTCCTAAACCCTAAACCCTAAACCCTAAACTCTAAACCCTAAACCCTTAACCCTAAAAAGTCCGAAGGGTTAAAAAACCCTTAACCCTAAACCCTAAACCCTTAACCCTAAATCCTAAACTCTAAACCCTAAACCGTAAACCCTTAACCCTAAATCATATTTTCGGATTCCCAACTCCTCAACTTTGAGAGATTGGGGTTTAGGGACCCTGAGCCTTGAACGCAACCCAAGGTCTTGCGAGAAAACAGTCGCACCAGCCGCAGCCCCGGGAACAGACAGGTTTGGGTGTTTCCCAAAATTATGGGTACCCTTTTGGGGGTCCCCATAATAAGGACCATCGTATCTTGGGGTCTATATTGGGGTCCCCTTATTTTGGAAACTACCGTTTCTACCCACATAGGGTATAGGTTGGAAGGTCCAGGGTTCAGGGTTCAGGGTTTAGGCAGTGTAGGGTTTAGGGTTCAGGGTTTCGGGTTGATGCAAAAATGTGCTGGGCGATGCAGTTTCAGGCTAGGGCTTCTGGAGGTCTTGCTCATAGCCTGAGACACCAGGCAGGCCCAAAAATCTACGTACAGAACCACTAAGTGACCTGGCAAAGTTCCCAGACCGGAAGCCCGAAATCCTACACCCTAGACGCCTGAATCCTAAGTCCTAAACCCCCAAACCTGAAAAAAACAAGCGCCAAGGCCCGAAACCCATCTAAACCCCAAAGCAAAGTTTTTTCAAAATGACCTTTATGGAATCCGTAATAGGGACCGCCGTTATCCTCTAAGATCCCCAAGTATCCTCCTTTTTTGAGAGACTCCCAAGTGTCAACGTTCCAAAGAGGCTGGTTCCGGGCCTTTGATCTCATTGGAGCCGCCACTGACTGTCCCGGCTGTACCGGCCAAGACCCCTGTTGGCCATACTATGGAAGCTACTATAATGGGTTTTCAGGGGTTTTAGGGTTTATGTTGGGGTTATATTGGGATAATGGAACAGAACATGGAAACTACTATAGTGGGTTTTATAGGGATTATAGGCGGAGATTCAGGCATAGCATTTAGGCTTTTCCAGAAGTTGGGAGTTTCCTCGAAGAGGGAGTACAAAGCACTGTGTGCAGGAAAGGCTTATGGTGCTTGGATTTGATGGCAAGTGTGGTTCCGCAACCTGCAGGATCTTCATTCGTCAGATATGGATTGTTACAGTTGGGCCGCAAGTGTGGCCCAGGTCTGCCCGTTTGGAATAGTCAACAGGAACCGATATACAATCGTTGTTAGTTTATTGTATTTTCATTTTTTTACCAGGTCTTGTCACAGCCTTGTCGATTGTTCAACACCGCACCCGTGCATGGAATTCCTTGCGCCTTGCGCACTGGGGCTTGAATGAGAAACAGAATTGTCTCCATACCCCAGAACCTCATGCTCAGAAGTCTTTTCAAATCTTGCGGATCTTGATTTGTAGTCTCTAGTTCTTAGGGCACCTACCATCAAACTACCCTGGAGCATAAACCCTCAGCCCGAAGCCCCAACCCAACGGCCCTAAACTAAGGGGGAACCAATATAGACCTTAAATACTATAACCCGGATTCTGGGGACCCCTTAGAAAAAACGGGATCCCTAATTTTTGGAAACCCTCATCCTTACGAACCGCTGCAGAATCGTTTTCCTTTTGATTCTCCGACATTGGGATAATCCCCCTTAACTCGAACCCTAAAACGTAAGCCCTAAATCCTAAACTCAAATCCTAAACCCTGACACTTAACCCTTAAATCCTAAACTCAAATCTTAAACCCTAAACCCTAAACCCTTATTGTTAATACCCTAAACCATTGATGCAGCATCGAGGTTGAGCCCTTGCAGGCGCAGGGCTTGGCACAGGCGGCCTTTGCAACGGCCTCCATGGGTTTGTGCCTGGTCTGATTAGGATTTAGGGTTTAAGATTTAAGGTATAGGGTTTAGGGTATAGGGTTTAGGGTTTAGGTTTTAGGGTATAGGGTTTAGGGTTTAGGGTTTAGGATTTAGAGTTTAGGGTTTAGGGTTTAGGGCGATGAGAGAAGTACGGAATCATGTAGAGTTTTAGAGCTGAGGGCTCATGCCTTAGGGGGGGCAGGGAGGATATCGCATTGTTTTACAAGTGTAGGGCTGACGAGTTGAAATTTGCCATAATTATAGGGGTTATATAGGGGATAATGGAAAAGAAAATGGAGACTGTAGGAATTGTAGGGATTATATATGGTTTATATAGGGGTTATAGGGGACAAGTTTTCAAGCGAAGGCGTTTTCTTGTTGGGTTGCCTGCAGGGCTGAGGAGTTTGGGGTTTCAGATCTGTTTTTTTGTTGTAACCCTTTGGGTCATTTCTTCTTGCAAGGTCG